TTGCTATTGCTATTGCTATTGCTATTGCTATAGGTGAGATTTTGCTATGGCTGCAATACTGTCAGCTCCGCAGGCGAACATAATAATATTCCCAGCCTACTCAAGGAGAATGCATGTCTTTTTTAATGTATAATTTTTATTAAAACTTTTAAACAAGAAAATAAAAGCTAAAATAATAAATAGGGAAGAAAAATGAAAAAATCAAAGTTTAAAAAAGGTGCAAGAAAAGGAAAAAAAGTTAAAGAAAAATAGAAAAGAAACAAAAAAAAGTTAAAGAAATAAATTCCTGTATCCTTCACAGCTGTGATAAGTACAAATACTGTATATTTTAACCTCTCTAAAGTTACATCATATTACTTTTTTCTGTAATCGATCCTGCGTAACCATTCAAACTATAAGTCACAGGTTCATTTTTTTCATTTTTACACAAAAGGTTCGTATGAGACTTCTCATCAGCAATTAATGTGTTTTCTCTAATCAAAGAAGCTAATGTATTTATTTCAGAAAATCTGTCTACTTCACAACTATTCTTCCATAGTGGCAGATCTTTCCATCTCCATGCATAAAAGTAATCTTGCTACGATGATCAGATATGGAAATAATCTTCCATGGCTGTTTATCCATTAATCAATCCTTTAAAAAATGTCTTCAATTGAATATTAATCTTTGAATCTTCTATGTCAAAGTATGTATTTGGATCAAAAAAGTTTTTAGCTTTTTTATATGTCCATCAAGCATGATAAGTATAAGTAAGTATAATTTTATTGGCATTGTACTTAAATACAACGAAATTGGTAATGATAAATGTCCTGTCATATGTTCACATTTCAAGCATACATCTGAAAGGCCTTCTAGATAATTTCTATAGCTAATTTATCAATCATACCCTTCCATAAATAGGGAAATCTCTCTTCTTCAAAATGTAGCTGTGGGACTCCAAAACAGAGAGTGATTGTTAAGTGAACCTGAGTTCCCCATTGACTGCTTGTCTAAAGATCACAAAAGGTGATCACATGACCCCAAGACACTACAATCATTGTAAATGCCTGCCAGTTGCCAAGCATCCAAATTTTGCTCATGTGACCATGGGGAGGCTGCAATGGTCATAAGTATGAAAAACATGCATAAGTCACTTTTTTCAGTGCTCTTGTAACTTCGAACTTCGAACAGCCATTAAATGAGCTGTCAATAACTACCTGTAATTGCAATACAAACAGAAACCCTTAAGATGTTCGTTTGCTTACTTCCCTTTATTTTGTACTTAATATTCATATATGAAAGAACTAATAAGAGAAGCTTAACAAGACCAGTGGTTTTTATGCAGTGCACTATATTTTACTTTTATTGCAATGGCGCAGATGGTTGTCAATTTTATTTTTTATTTTCTCTTTAGTTTAATCTTACCATGAATCATAAAACTAGAAAGAGTGGGAAGTGCATTCTTTTTGTTTACTTATTAGTCAGAGAAAAGAGGAAAACCTCTTATGGTATTTAGCAATACATTTCTAATATTGCACAATTATTCTTATTTTAGAAAACCGGACAGGAAGAATCACCCCAGTCAAAGCAGGTCTGGACACAGAGGTAAGAGATGATTAATGTGATATTTTTTTGCACAAGGAAAATAAACCATTATTTACTCTTAATAATTCCTATTTCTACATACAGACATTGCCTGGGCAACAGTCATATACAAGTAACCAGAGCTAAATTTTGTATATTTCTTTCAGCAAAACCTTGTGATAAATTCTGGTTTTATGGCTATATTATATAGGTGCTATTCAATTTTCAATTTTAATCTATAAATATTTTAATCTATTTACATGTTGTGATCATGTGATTATGTGCGTAGTCCATTTATTTCTGGAAATTTTTGTTTTATTGCATATTAATTCATGCTCTTATTCATATCAGATTGAACACCCTCTAAAGATTTGAACTTTAAAATGTAGGCTAAAATTTTCTCATAAGGACAATATTAAAAACTCAAATGTTTTAATATACAGTATATATACTCCCAATCAAATTCAAATTTGGAAAACTTGCTTGAAAGTTTCCTTGTTCTGACATTCTATCTAGCTCTTGTGACAGATGTAGCTCTGGCTGGCCAAATTATATCAAAAACTGTTCCAGTATAACTCTGATTTAAAGAGGATTGTGTTTGTGTAGGAAGAAAAGGATGTATTGCATCCTCTGCTTCTACTTTTCACTGGATCCTTACAACCTTCAAACTGGACATTTCGCTAAATCAAGAAACAACACTGAAGCTTCCCTCTTGAAACAACAAGATTAAAGCTGAACTCTGAACCTAAAGCAGCTTCACTCTGCACACCATTGTATAGTAAATGCAAAGAAGAAGCAAAGAAGAAAATAATAGAATAACTACTATCTTCATCGACATTAACCAAACAGGTCACATAGTATCCACTGGGGGTCCTTTCACTGGCTGATACTAAAGCACAGGGAAGCCCCAGCTGACAAAATATCACTGCCTCAGCCAATGCTTCTCTGAGCACAAGGGAATCCTAGCTGATTGTTACTTCTTCTATAAGAATTGCAGTGAAATTAGATTAACTAAGATATTATGAAGCATAGCAAGGAGACTGTCTCCTACTGCCTCCCTGATATATTAAGGAAATTGTCTAACAATTCCTAATGAATATATACAGTCATGCAGACAGTAGCCAGTCAGTCAGTCACTTAGATACATTGGGGTATCCAGTTTAATATACCAAATATATGTATTTAGTCCATCTCCCTTTTGGGTAGATGCACTGGGTTTATAAGAGGGCAAATTTGATGTAGTAGTTAAGACTAGAAACTGGGAGACTGTGAATACTAGTCTTGCCTTGGATACAAAACCAGCTGGGTGATCTTGAGCCATTCATTTTTTCTCAGCCCTAAGAAGAAAAAGGCAATGGTAAATCACTTCTGAAATCTTGCCAAGAAAACTGTAGGGATTTGTGCAGTCAGTCATTAGGAATCAAGACTAATTCAAAGGCATCAAAAAAGCACCAAAAAAGCACCAAAAAAAGCACCAAAAACCCTGCAATCAGTGCAATTTGTTCCAGGATATATATTTATTCCATTAAAGCCACAATGGAGAATGAAGTTTTCAAAGTAGGATGTCTTAGAAGAGACACAGCCCTCATGTCTATATATTATGTAATGTATAATATACATTATTTTGCTCTGGTTCCAATCCTTCCTATTTGGACACTTTCAGTCAAACCTTGTAAGAGACTGGAGATCAGGCCTCCAGGTTGCTCCCAGTTTGGCCCGGATTGGGCAAACTGTTTGTAGCGGTGGTGGGAGGCTCCCTCCACCCACCCAGACATTCTGTGCATGCACAGAAGTGTGGCGCACATGAGCAAACTGGTAGTAAAAAAATGGAAACCCACCACTGCTTCAGGTACTGCAATACTCTATTCATTCCCTTATTTAATTTAACATCTACATGAACTGTTGGGAGGCATCATCCATTTAGGAAGCCATGGAAGTTATCTTGGAGAAAATATCCAGAAGTCTTTAGGACAACAATAGGTGCTGAAGCTTGCTTTAAACTCAGGGACGTAGGAAAGTATTAGAAAAATACTCAATCTAATTCTCCCTCCTTCCAATTGTGAGGAATGGAAAAACATAGGAAATCATGCATGATTTTGCTACTATAGCCTATCTTAGTAAAATATAGTTTAGCCTTCCTTTGGAGTTAGTTTCCTGATTTGGTTGATGATACCCAATTTTGTACCTTAATCGTGGACCAATCATCACCTGAGAGTCTAGATGGGGAAGAACAAGTTGAGCTCAAAAGAAACAATACTGAGTAGCTGTAGACTGAGAAATTGATATTTCAGGAATGTAAGCTTTAGACATTGCTTCTTTATTAATAATTTAAAAAAGGAAATACAAGCAATAAAAAGTATTGCTGACTAGTTCTGACCACTGTATTTGAGAAAGAGTATTGTATAACTAGAAAATGTTGAAATAAGAAAAAGCAGCAACTATAACGATTAGTGTATTGAAACAGCTCACCTCTGAGGAAAGGCTACGTCTAAACTAATTGATCCTTTTTAACTTGAAATGAAGAAGAGTAAGAGGGCACATGATATAAAATCATACATGACATAGATAATCCAGATATAAAGATATTTATTTCCCTGTTTCACAATGGTTAAACTCCAAGTCACCCATTGAAAATAAATATGGGAACTATCAAGACAAATATAAATACTTTTTAAAAATAAATATAATGGAGTTTACTGTTTGAAATAACAGCAGCCACTTTGGATGGTTTTAAAAGGATATTTCATGAAAGACCGGGTATTCAAAATGCTATTAATAGCATTTTATTACCTCCCAAATCATAAACAGATGCCATGTTCTAGTTGTGGGGAG